GTATCTTCTTGCAAAAACAGTATTTAAATTAATAGAAACTCATGCCATAATAAATTGACCAGAGTTTTAGCTGCCCATATATTCTTTATAGATATAAGAGAATATCACAGTTTCCCTCCCAAAATAAGCTGGTCCCCTTTTTTTCTCTATAGAAAAGGCGATTCTTTCCAAACGTCTACCTCATTCAAAACACCGTGTGCTGGGATCAGTGCCTTCAAATCAGCATATATTGTTTTCAAATTAACGACAGGAATAGCCTAGATGATACGTTAGAAAAAAAATGGGAGAAGAAAAATATGTAGGAGCAAAGAAATAAGTCAAAGCATATAATAATCCATGTAACAGAATGAAAACTCAACCCACAATAACAGGGAAAGATAAAATGAAATAAAATACTAAAACAAAAAAACAAAACAAAACAAATAAAATAAAATAAAATAAAATAGAATAAACAAAATCAGACCAAACCATCCAGATCATAAGCAACAGAATTTCCTCTCCTCTAAATATTAGGTTGAGCAAAGCTACAATACAATGCTTTCTCTTTTCTGGTTTCAGAAACTGCATTAACATTAATGATAGTTTATGTTACTAGCAGAATGCAGATTGTAATAAAATAATGATTTAAAAGAAAATGACTTCTTCAAAGAGCAGTTTCATTTACCAGTCATAATTAAAAGTTAAGCTGGGAGAAAGAAAGAGTTCTTAGAAGACATAAAAAAGAATTTACTTCCAAGCTGTTGTATAGCACCACTAAGTGGTACAAAAAATAACCACTAAAATCAGGAGCCCTCCTAGTTTTTCATCATCAGATGCTCCTTGGTGTTCATGTCAGGTCTCCAGATAATGATATAGCATTTGGGGAGAAATATGCAGCCCAGTAAGCCCAGGCTGGAAGCCAGGATGGAGAAGATCTACTGTGACATCCAAAGTTCAGGTCTTCAATATGTTCCTGAGCCAGCTCTCCCCACTCCTCCCAAATTAGTTTCACTCCCTCCATTCTATCTCCACTCCCTTTGACTTCACTTTGATTCTTTGTCTAGCCAAAGTATAAGCTGCAGTGAGCAGGTGTTGCAGGTTCAAAGAACTTCCTTATCTCTTCTCAAAATCTGAAACTACTGCCCATCTTAGAGGAATCAATGTCTCGTCTCCTGCATCCTGCACTTAACCACTTTCACTTTTCTTGCTTTGCATGCAACTTTCCTGCAACCTTGGGGTGTCTTAATAAAACTGAATATTATATAACTAACCAGAGGAAACTGCCCTGGTGTGAATGAGGCACATTCCTCAATTCAAGTCAGATACTCCAGAATAACTATATCCAGGGCAAGTCAAGCGATCTTTATGTTCACAATTTCCATGAAATCTAGGTCTAACTTCAACTGGGCAATATAGTATAGGCTATAGCGTCCAAGCCAATTCTTATTGAATTCCAGGCAATGTTTTGATAGCAGAAAGCAGCTGACAGTTCACTGAAGGTTCAGAAGAGAAAGTGATAGGATCAGCCCACTCAACTTCTGCTATTCTGCTTCATCCTGATACGAGGTATTCCTGGGAGGAAGAGTACAGAAGTCTGAGAGTGTACACTAGGAGTATATACTCCCAGAAGGATAACCCAAGGAATGAAGGTCATCCCACCCTCCAGGTCTGCAAAGGACAGAGAAACCCCATAATCCCCTCTCCTTATTTATTCACCCTATGTGCTGAATATATGATGAGGGATGCTGGATTTAAACACTGGAGGAGGAAACTTCAAGGTGTGCTATGCTGATGACACTATGATTGCTGAAAATGCAAAAATTCTGGGAGATCTAGTAATGACAGTCAAACAGCACAGAGGAAAAATGGGACAATGATTAAATAGAAAGAAGACCAAACCTATAAGCGCAGTTATGGCAACCAGCTTTAGAACTGGCAATGAAGATACTGAAGTGCTAAATAGCTTTTGCTTTTTGCTATTTTTTATTTTAAAAAATTCAGTACAATAGAAGTATAGAAAACTAAAGAAAATTAAAGAAAAAATATGAAAGAAAAAAGATTAAAAAGAAGAAAAAGAAGTGAAAAAGTGAAAAAAGAAAGAAAATATAGAATTATGACTTCTGCTCTTCTTTCTATCTAGTAATTGCTATCTTAATTTTCCCTTTCCTCTTTAACCCTTTTCAATCCCTAAACCCATAAATCATCAATTCAGTCTTTTCTTCTTCCAACAAGAAGTCCATATAAGGCTTCCAGTCTTTCAAAAAGGTCTTTGTCATTTTTTTCCTGACCAAACTGGTCAGCTTTGCCATTTCTGCAAGTTCTGTTAATTTTATAATCCATTCTTCCACTGTGGGTATTTTAATATTCTATGGAGTCCTGGGTACTCTCTGAGCTTGGTTGTGTGCTTGCAGACATTTCATTACCCAACTAGGTAACACCATCTGTGCGAGGGAGTGTGAGGTTTGCTCCCTGTTTATATACAATAGTATACAGTATACAGTGCTTTGCTATTCTTCCATCTTTGTGCATACAATAATCTTGCCGCAGTTACCATATGCAATATTAGTTTCCCATATTTCTTTTCTAGTTCATTGTTCATAAAACCCAATAGAAATAATTCTAGTTTCATTGTAATATTATTCCAGAGTATCTTTTGCATCACTGTATGAATTTGCACCCAGAATTTCTTTGCTTTTTCACAAGTCCACAAGGCATAATAAAAAGTCCCCTCTTCCTTTTCACATTACCAACACTGGTTTGGTATTTCTTTGTACATTTTTGGCAGCCTAACTGGTGTTGTATAGCAACAAGAAATCATTTTATAAAAGCTCTCTTAAATGATGACCCAATGTAAATTTAAGACCAGTTTCCCACATTTTCTTCCTTTTGCTTTTGCTTTCTATGATCAACTATCAGCAGCAAAGGAACCAACAGGCAAGGAACATGCCGCAGGCGAGCACTTGGTAGAGTGGCCTTGAAGGACCTGGAAAAGAGATTCAGATGTCCAAAAAGATCAGAATCTTTCCTAAAATGGTTGTCACTCTATGGAAGGAAAAGTTGGACTTTGAAGAAGGAGGATAGAAAGGATATTGATGCTTCTGGGCCCCTGAGAATACCATGGAAAGCTAAGGAAACAAACAACTGGATCATTGAACAAATCAATCCAGATTTCTCACTTCAAACACAAATGATCAGGCCCAGATTAACATATTTTGGTCATATTAGGAGAATAACTAACTGTCTTCAACATTCTATGATGGTAAGAAATATGGAAGGATGTAGAAGAAGAGGATGATCAGTAGCAAGATGAAAGGACTGAATAACAGCAGGAATGAGAATACTGTTGGAAAACATGAAGGATCAGTTATATTGGTTAAAAGGAGGGAGAAAATCAATTTGCTAAGTCACTAAATTACTCAGTAGAATAAGCCTTCTTCCAGGAACTATAAAGAGCACAGACAAAGAGGGACGCTTTGTCTTCCTTGGTTCTATGGGAGGATATATATTTCAAAAATAAGGGGTTTTTCCCCCCAGAGAAGAGGATAGCCACTTTTTTCTCCTTAAATTTTGCTCTTTATTTACAATGCAATATGGTAGAGTACCCAGGAGGGTTGAAATAGTCACAGTGGTGGTCACTGCAGTGTGACTGAACCTTCTGCCTTGAAGAAGTTGCTGTTCCTACACATCATCAATGAGTTTCCTATGGGTTTTCTATACATTTATTCTTTCTATACATTTATAAGTGTCTACGAGGTTACTGTGTGTCTCATCCTTGTGGGCCTGGGAGGGTTATCTATTCCTAAGTATCATATTCTATCAATTATTATTATTATTATTTTTTGCTAAGCCTTAGTCTGTCATTCCTGTATATTTATTTATTTATTTTTACTGTCTGTGTCCTCTCCCCATTTTTCTTTTATAGGAACACTTGAATTGCCCTCTCCTGTATAAGTCCCCTTGCTAGTCCTGTCCTAGACTACAGCAGACTCTGCATGGATGTGTGGGTGGGTGTGTTTGTATGAAAGATGGCAAAAAGCCAAGTTGGTGGTTCCACACCAAATCAAGAAGAACCATACTGATTTTGATTCAACTTTTATTTTTTTTCCCCTATTAAATATAATTATTTTCCTATATATTGGAAGTGTGGTACCTCCATGTCAACTGATGGCATAAGAATTGTCCTTACTTTGGGATTTTCTCCAAAGGCGTCATCAGGTGTGAAGTTAGTGATATTTCAGCTGAAATCAGTACAGGTAGACTTTGCTTAATGACCATTTGTTTAGTGACTGTTCCAAGTTATGATGGTGCTAAAAAAGTTACTTGTGACTGGTGCCCGAAGATCTGACTGTTACAGTGCCCCCATAGTCATGTGATTGTGACCCAAGTGTTGGCAACCAGCTTGAATTTACAATGGTTGCAGCATCCTGGGGGTCACAAGATCACCATTTGTAACCTTCCCAGCTGGCTTCTGGTAAGCAAAATCAATGAGGAACCACATGATTCATTTAACTGCAATGATTCACTTAATGACCACTGCAAAGAAGGATGTAAAATATGGTCTGATAACATTAAACATCTTGCTTAATGACCACCCTACTTAACAACCAATTTTCTGATCCCTATTGTGGTCATTAAGCGAGGACTACCTGTAGTAAGCAAAATATTTCTCACATTCCATGCGAGAATGGAAGGTTTCTTCCCAGGATGGATATTCATATACATTTTAAGATCAGACTTCTGAGAAAGTAACCAAACTCAAATCATTTATTAGGTGTCCCCCAGTGTGAATTTTCTTGTTTCAAACAGATGAATGGTAAACAAAATATTTTCCACTGATAGGATTTATGTGGTTTCTCTCTCCCATATGGATTCTTTGGTGATGTCAGTTATAGACTTCTTAGCAAAATCTTTCCCACACTCAGTGCATAGATTGTTTTTCTTTTCTGCGTGAAATATTGGTGATTCAGCATTCCCCACATTCTGAATTTTAATATGGCCTTTCCCCAATGTGGGTACTGAAATCAGGACCTCTCATTGTTTTTCATCATCAGATGCTCCTTGGTGTTCAGGTAAGGTTTCAGGATGATGATGTAGCATTTGGGGATAAAGATGCAGCCCAGTAAGCCCAGGCTGGAGGCCTGGATGGAGAAGATCTGCACAGCCACCATGTATTTCCCTTTAGTGCTCAGGTAGGTGGGGACAAAGGAGACCCAAACACTGCAGAAAACCAACATGCTGAAGGTGATCAACTTGGCTTCATTGAAGCTCCCTGGCAGTTTGCGGGCTAGGAAAGCCACCAAGAAGCAGATGGCAGCCAGAAAGCCCATGTAACTGAGGGCAGTGTAGAACATGGTGACTGAGCCTTCATTGCATTGCAGCAGGATCTGTCCTGAGTGGTAATGCAGATTGGCATCTGGGAATGGGGGAGAGATTCCCAGCCATATGATACAGATGCCAACCTGAACCCCAGAGCAGGACAAGATGATGGAGTTGGCCAGAGTCTTCCCCAGCCATTTCCTCATCCTGCTCCCTGGCTTTGTGGCCAGAAAGGCCACCACCACCATGACTGTCTTGGCCAGCAAGCAGGATACGGCAACTGAGAAAACAACACTGAAGGTGCTTTGTCGGAGGAGGCAGGTCACTTTCCTGGGGCGACCTATGAACAGCAGGGAAGTCAAGAAGGAAAGCAAGAGGGAGTCCAGTAGGATGTAGGTGAGGTCCCGGTTGTTGGCTTTGACTATGGGAGTTTCTCGGTATTTCATGAAGATCCCCAAAACAATGGCAGTGGTTAGGGACAACCCAAGTGCAAAGAGAGTCAGGATGAGACCCAACGTTTCTTGGTAAGATAAGAAACTTATAATCTTGGGGACACATTGATCTCGTTTCTTACTGGAATGCTGGTCATCTGGGCACTTCTCACAATGGGCTGCATCTGAAAAAGAAGCAGTTATTTCTTTAGCTAGTGGATTCAGTAGCATTCAGCAACTGGTGAAAAACTGACCCAAGGTCAGCTGGGTATACATAGAGCAGTAAGGATTTCCTCTATATTCCCTGTTTGTCAAGTTGACCCCCCAAAATTGGTAAGGTAGGTCACTTCCTTCTGCCTATGTTCCAAAGCAGTACTCTCCTCCTGGTAAGAAGTAGTTAGGTAGCTTTGCCTCTCCCTATCAAGTTATTTCCTGAAAATAAATCTCCTCTATGTTATAAAACCTGTTCTACTAATCAAAGGTCAGGTTCCCACTCTCAAGAACATCCATACACACCTCCTACACAATGGTCCAGCTTTTGGGGCATTTTGTGAGAGAAATAATTCAGTAAGTTAGTGACAGTTCAGGTGCCTCAGCAGAAGGCAGAATTGAAGTGGCTTGGTTGGCCTTGGGGACTAAGGAAGTTCAGGCCTCCTTTGGATTTGAATGGTGCTCCTTCTTTGCTCTTGCAGCACCTACCTTCCTGCGTGGAGACTGTTCCTTCCATGCATGGAGAGCAGTCATAGCAGCAAACCGGTGCCCCCTCTCTCATGAGCTTGGTGTATCCTGGGAGACAACTTTCAGTACATCTTGAAAAAGGCATTTTCTAAACAGAAAGAAAATCCAAGAAAATCTTACCAAACATGGATCTGGCATTGTCTTCCTAGAATCCTTGGCTCCTTTCTAAGTTAAGGATTTGCAATGAGCAGAAAGAGAAGCTGATTAACATAGGTTCTTGACCTTAAGCAGTAAAGAATCTATTCTTTCCAAATGTCTAAATTCCTGTTACATCAAGTTCTTAAAACCCAATAATATAAGGTCTTTTCTAAGTCGAGGATTTTTTTTTTAAGTAACTCATTTTCAACAGCACAATCTTTTGGAGAAACATTCCCAGTACTAATCTCATCTCAGCATGATTTCAGTCCTTCTATGTGCCCTCAGCACAGACCATCCATCATAGAGGCGAGGTTGGTGCACTGTGAATGATCAGGTAAATGATACCACCCCCAAACCCCCAAATAAGAATCCTCAGTTACCTGGTTAAATGAAGTCGGCCATATGATGGCACTCTGATCAATGGAGAGCTTGACTTCTAAAAAGTCCTTTCGTTCTATATGCCCAATTTTCACTCCAGCAGCAGATTTGTTGGGAAATACTGCCCAGTCCATGATAACAAAGTCAGCAGCAGGATCTCCATTCTCATCCAAATAGACATCACCTACTGAAAGATTGTAAGGCTGGAAGTTTCTTAGAAAAAGGTGAAGCTAGAAAGACACAGAGAATCACACTCGTACCTTCTACGTTCTTATTTGATCCCTAAGTCCAGATGGGGCTACTGCAGCTCAGTTACTCTTTCTACAATATTTGGGAGAAATCTAGTTAAGGATTTACTCCAGATGTTCTTTCTGTCTATCAAAAGATCTCTGGCCTGCTCTATTTTATGAAATTGCTACTCTCAAGTGTCAAACATATTCTGACTCCAGCAATCAGATGATATGTAACGTGGCTGTCTCACTATGGCTGTGTCCCTAATACTGGTCTAAAATTCCAATCTCTCCTTGTAATCAGCAAAAGCACAAATCTCTCAAAATGGCTTGTCTACAACATCAACTTCACCTCAACCTTGGACAATCCAGAGCAGCCTAGTTCTGAATTCTTCTATCTCCTTTGATGCATCTCTGAATGCCATCTTCTTGCCTCCCCTCTACTGTGTAATTGTTGCCTCCCACCTCCTGCCTTCAGCCATGTCATTTTCTAGAAGGAAACATCCATCCATCTAGGTGCTATAGGAAAGACAAATTTGGGTTCAGCATCTTCCTTGGTGACATTTCTGATTTGTATCATTTCACCTTTGCATTGCTTCAGCTTTGCATACTGTAAATGTCCTTCTTCTATTTTAAGATTAGGATCTCATGGTGCTGTGAGTGAGAGCTGCAGAATGTGGAGGGTAATTGAGGTGGCCAGGAGGGGTTGGATATTGACCATTTCAGGCTGAAGTGGATATGCTCCCTCTGCATTGGTCACTGATCATTAGTTGCCAATCTCTTGTTGTCTGTCTAAAGAGTTGGACACAGCAGCCATGGAGGATGTTCCAACAGAGCTGCACAATGGTGGTGCCACATCTACATGTCCCTCTAATGTGGAATGGACTATGCCCTTCTAGTATGGTCAATCATGCTTTGACAATTGATGATATCAAAAAGGGAGGAATAATTGGAAGGTAGAGACACATTAAAAATGTGCAGGGCTTCAAAGATTCAGTTTGGAAGGGGAAACACATCCTAAGGAACTCTTCTGTTCTGATCTGGGTGTTTGTTTGGATACAGCTAAGACCTGGGTGTAGAAGAAGGTCCACATGAGGAGACTAGAGATGACAGATAGTCCTGCAGTCAGACCTGCCCATTCATGCTGCTGTGCTATGATTGCAGCATGTACATTCCATTGACTGGTGATCCCCTGAATGTGGAAAGTGGCTAAACCAGAGTGATTGCTTCCTTTCTCAGATGCTGGGGATGCAGAAACACAACAGATCATTTGCAAGGTCACAAAAATGAATGCAATGGAGGCAGCAAGTGTCATGACCATATATTATGCTATGGTCTTTCTGGGTTCTGCAACTGAATACCTCATCACTTTATGAAAGCAACAAATGGTGATGGGAAGGGTTGGGAGAAAAGACTGGACTACAGACTCTACAATTTGACCTTGAAAGGAGGGGAAAAAGCCAGAAAAATATCTTTGTATCAAGTCCAAAGTGAGAGGACAAATAGTTAAGAAAAAGTTGCTGCACAGTGATTAGGAAGCTGCAGTCTGAAGCAAATCAACGGGCCTTATTGTTCCTTGAAGACACTGGAAAGGGCATAGACTTCACACCATCTTAAGGAGGCAGGACAGGAAGTGAGAAAAAATTCCCTGGTCTAGAAGCTAAATCAAGCCAATGTTGGATGGTTAAGAAACTTGTTGATTACTCTAACATCCTGGTGCTGATTTATTCTGCAAATAGGGAGAACTATTGCAGAACACAGCTGTTCACTTTGGAAGATCTAGCATCAGAATCTCTCTCTCCTTCTTTCTCTTCAAGCCTCCACATTTGGTCAGAACAAACAGTCAAACCTGGGCATTTGCTGAGGGGGAGTCTCCCACCCTATTTCCATCCCTGCCCCTTTCTAACAAATACTAAAGTATTTAAGTGGGAGGGCTTCTGGGGACAGCAATTGCAGACTGAAGATGGCTCCGCTTTTGCGGAGTTGGACTGTGGCAAAAAGTGTAGCCATTGAAGGGATCAGCTGCTCAGAACCCCTCACCGGATAAAGAAGAGGACAAGGATCACCCAAAAGTTTGCTCCATGCAGAATCTCCCTGTGAAGGGATTGCAAAATAGTGATTTTCAGTGGATTTGAGAGTTCTGGGAGCTGAGGGGAAAACATCCCGCTTAATTACTTTAGGAAGTTGCTTTTTATGGATTACTTAGAAGATAAGAACCTTCTGAAGAGCAAGTTTTTTTACACCAGGAGAATCTCCTTCTACCTTGGATGAAAGAAGTTAGGTGTAAGTTGAAGTCCTAAAAAGAAAAGATTTACCTTTTGAACAGCAACAGGGTTTGAAAAGTTAAGAGGCTAGATGGACTTGAAAGAATATTTCCTGTGGGATGTTGAAAGATTACTAAAAAAATATATGAAGATATGAAGATTTGAAATTAATTGTTAGAAAGCTTCCCGTGGGAATATTTTCTTGTCTGCACAATAAACAGATGACAAGAGGGGATTTGACTGAGGCAACCAGAGAGAACAACCAGTTACATTTAAAGGGGGAGAGACCCATCAATACAATGGAGCAATATTATTTGTCTATAGAAGAGTTTAAGGTGGTTTGGGAGCAATGCATGCAGAAATTACTGAAAAGACTGTCTGGCAGAGGATATATAGAAGAACAAAATATTTCGTTGGAGAAAACAGAGATTAAGGCTGATTTAAATTTGAATTTGGAGTTCAAAAAAATGCTGGATTACAAAAGTGATTTGGAAAAAGATGTGGTGGATCAGAAAATGGAAAAAGATGCTAAAATGGATTTACAGATGAAAGGGGACATACAAATAATAAACCAGAAGAGTGATTTGGAAAGCCTTTTAATTATGGATTTAGAAAATGTATGTGTTAAACCAATGAAATTGTTCCTAAGAAGAGACAAAGAGAAATGATTGAGGCTGTTCCTGAAAGAGATAATGACAAGGAGTCAATTATTATTATTAATTATTTTTGGTGGCTTTAAATGGACTTTTGCTGATTAAGATTGAAAGATGATTTTTTACAATTTGATTACTGATAAGAGATGAGATATGGGAGAAGATAATTAAATTCAATTCTCTAGTATTTAAATTACTAGACTTAAATTACTGAAACTGTTTATACTTGTACAGAGGGAGGGGGGAATCTCTTTCTTTCTTTCTTTCTTTCTTTCTTTCTTTCTTTCTTTCTTTCTTTCTTTCTTTCTTTCTTTCTTTCTTTCCTATAGCTCTTTACACTTCTCTTTCTTCTT